ATTTTTTTGAGACAAGTTCTCCCTTTCTAATTCAGGCTGGCCTTGAATTTAGAGTGATCCTCCTGCCTCAGCTCCTGAGAGCTGGTAAGATAGGCATGCACCAGTATAGTTGGCTCTAAATGTTCATACTAAAGCAAAACCTATTTGAAGCCAAAAAGTGCTGTGTGGAATAATACTAGGGATTTTGGGAGCATACTCAGAGGAAAAAACAGCATGTTTTAGGAGTCATATCAAGCACAAAGAAGAAAACTTGGCAAAAATATGTGACCAGGCTGTGACTAATAGGCCAGTGACCCAATCTGCATTGAATGGGATCTGTATTTGGAGTTTTTTTTTTTTTTTTTTTGTCTTTTTCGTTTTTATCGGTACCAGGGATCGAACTCATGACTGCCTGCTTGCAAGGCAGGCGCTTATGCCGCTGAGCTAAATCCCCAGCCCCCTGGAGTTATTTTTTTCAACCAGATGCGGTCGGTTTATCCAGCCACAGTCTGACATTCAGCCTTCCACTGGGCGTGGGCACACACTGGTTTAATCTTGTGGCAGAATGGTATCAACAATGTGCCCAGTCAGTACATTAACTAGCATTAGAGACTGCAGCAGGGACTCTTGATGACCCAAGTGGGTCACAAGTGATTGCTCAGGTATGCCAGGAGTCCCCAAGGACTCCACCCAGCACCCCACCCAGTCATGCTCACATTCCTCAGGTGAGTGTGGCCTTACTGTGTCTTACCACTCCTGGTTAGTGCCTCCTGTTGGGCAGGATCAGTGTTTAATTTCTGTTTTTGTCTTTCCTTTCTTCCCAGTCTTTACACCTAGCGATCAGGTAGTCAAGAGGAAAGATGTTGAACCAGATTCCCTAGGACCAAAATTTCTAGCTCTGTTGCTTACTAGCTGTGTGTCCTTGCACAAGCTGCTTAACTTTGCTGTATCTCAGTTTCATTCTCTATTAAATAGGGGTAATAATAGTACCTACTTCACAGCATTAAATGAGTTTCATACATATTACACTTGGCACATAGAATATCTATTTAAATGTTAGCTATTATATAATTTTTTAAGAGTAGGAAAAATTATTGGAGAATAGGAATAGCTTCTGAAAGACAGGAGTCCCTATTACATTAATATGTATTATATATTATTGTGATGTGATAGATCAGTGAATGCAGGTAGCTAAATATATGGGAAAGAAGGACTTTAATGGATACAGTGGAATTCTTGAGAACAAATGGTCAAATATGGATTTATAGTTACTATAATATAACAATAGTAACTGACTTGGTTACTTTTCTCTTGTTGCTGAGACAAAGTACACAACACCCAAAGTTAAGGATGGAAAGATTTATTTAGCTCACAGTTTGTGGAGGTTTCAGTCTGTAATCAGCTGGCTCCAAAGCAGGGTGGCACGGCACAGGGGCAACACTTCAAGGTGGCAGAAGATAGTAAAAGCAGCAAAAGTAAAAAAGGGTGAGGGAGAGAGCAAGACTCTTTTCCTCCCTTATACTGTAAGCAGGTTACCAACCCCTAAGGCAGGTGTAGCACTCACACCATCTCCCTGCCCTCCTCTTTCACATAATGAGGATGTTTACAAAGTAAGGACCCTGGCTCCTTCCTCAGTTGCTTAAATTTCCAGACTTCTTTATCACTTTTGAGAAAGAAAAAAATCCCAGCAGTAACAGTTAACAATTATGGGGCATTTCATATGTGCTGCTTTCCTTGCATCACGAAACAATCCAATGAGGCAGACACAACTGGTGCCCTCATTTTCCAGTGAGGAAGCTCAGACTAGGAGAAATGAAGTAACATTACATAGTCAAGGATCAGAGCTGGAATTTAAGCTGATCTGCTTAATCTTGAGCCCATGTTTTTTCTTGGGGAGATAGGGGGAAATACTTACTTTGAATTATATCTCCAGCCCTTTTCATTTTTATTAGGATTTTCTGCAGCACCTCATGATTGCATGCATCCTGGGGAGTTGGTACACATATATCACACATCTCGGTTCCTTTTTCATCCCCTTCTCCTTTCCTTCTTCCCCCTCCCTCCATCTTTTTCCCCCTTTCCCATTTGCAAAGATCTATCTCTTTGTTTGCTATTGTCTGTCTTTTATTTTGCTTTTTAACTTATTCTTTGGATTCCTCATATGAAAGAAACTATGCCATATTTAAGTTTGCATGTCTGATTTATCTCATTTTACATTATGGTCTCAAGAAATACCCATTTCCCTACAAATTACTCAAATTTACCCTTCTTTATAGCAGAGTAGGACTCCATTGTGTATAAATACCACATTTTCATTATCTATTCATCTATAAACAGACATATAGGCTGCTTCCAAGATTTAGCTATTATGATTTATGGTGCTATAAACATGATATGTAGGTATCACTGCAATATGCTGTCTTCAACTCTTTTGGGAAGATACCTAGAAGGGGAATAGCTGGGTCAAATGGCATTTCTGGTTTTAGTTTTTTTAGGAAACCTCACATTGATTTTCATAGTGGTTGCATCAGTTTACATTTGCACTATCAATGCAGAAGGGTTCTTCTTCCCCGCAGCCGCTCTAGCATTTGATATTGTTTGATTTCTTGATGGCCATTCTTACCGGACTGTAAAATGAAATCTCAGTACTGTTTTAATTCATAATTCAATTTAGTTTACAATCTTACTGTGAACTTCTCTTTGTGAATATCATTTGGTGGGATTTCTTTGGTCTTGTATTTAGAAGATTATGAACATTCAAATAATGATAATTAGCTTCTTCCTTTCCTATATGTAACTCTTTTATTTTTTCTCTTGCCTGGTTTCTGTGGCTGAAGTGTCAAATACCACACTGAACAGGAGTGGTGACAGTAGATATCTCTGTCTTGTTCCTGGTCTTAAAGGAAAAGTTTTCAGTCCACCCCCACCATTTACTATGATATTAGCAGTAGCTTTGTCCTAAATGGCTTATATCAAACTGAGGTAAAGTTGTTCTATACCCATTTTCTTCGGTGTTTTTATTGTGAATGGTGTAGAGTTTGTCTAAGGCTGTCTCTGTTTCTATTGAAATGATCATGTGATTTGTGTCATTGTTTCTGTTACAAAATATATTACATTTATGCAATGTGTATGTAGAGCCATCCTTGTAACCCTGAGATAACCCTACATGATCATAATGTGTGATTTTTTTTTGATGATTTGTTGTTTATCAGCATCTTGTTGAGGATTTTTTTTTTGAGGACTTTTGCATCAATGTTCATTAAAAATATTGGCCTGTACTTTTCCTCTTTAGTTGGTCTTTGTCTAATTCTGATGTCAGGGTAATCCTATATTCCAGGAATGACTTTGGATATTCCTTTCCTTTTAATTTCATTAGAGTTTGAAGAATACTGTATTATATTTTCTCTGAGGTTCTGATAAAATTTAGCAGTGAATCCATCAGGTTCTGGGTTTTTATTAGTAAGTTTTTTGTTCTGTTACTGCTTCAAGTTCACTGCCTATTATTGAGTTATTCAGGGTTTTATTTATTTATTTATTTATTTAGGTACCAGGGATTGAACTCACGACCTCGTGCTTGCCAGGCAGGCACTTACGCCACTGAACTAAATTCCTGGCTATTCAGGGTTTTAAAAATACATTCTTGGTTCATTTTAGTCATTCATATGTATCTAGGAATCTGTCCACTTATTCTGGATTCACTAATTTATCGGAGTATAGGTTTTTAAAGAAGTTACCAATAATCCTCTAGATTTCAGGAGTATCTGTTGTGATTTCACCTTTTTCACTTCTAATTGAATAGATTCGGCTCTTTCATTTTTCTGGTAAGATTATTTACAGGTTTTTAAATTTTACTTATTCTTTCAAAGAACCAGCTCTTTGAGCCGTTCAATGCGTACATGCATACATACATATGTATGTCTCAATTTCATCCATTTCTACTCTCAACTTTATAATTTATTTCTTTGTACTAGAATTGGATTTGAATTGTTCTTGTTTTCCTACGACCTTGAGGTTCATGGTTTGGGCTTGCTCTATTTTTCCTTTTGTTGTTATTATTACTGTTGTTGGTTTTTTGAGGCAAGGTCACTATGTAGTTTGGGCTAGACTTGAACTCACAATGTAGCGCAGGCTGGCTTCAAACTCATGACAATACTCCTTCCTTGGCCTCCTCAGGGCTGGGTTTACATGTGTGCACCACCACCCCAAGTTCCTTGTTTTTATGATGTGAGTATTCACAGTTATAGTCTTTCCTCTCAGGACAACTCTCATTGTGTCCCTTAGGTTCTGACATTATCATTTGATAACACTGTACTGTTCTTATCATTTAATTCTATGAATTGTCTGATTTCTTCTGTAACTTACTGATTATTCATATATATTGTTTTATTTTCATGTGTTTACACAATTTCTATGGTTTCTTTTATTATTGATTTCTAGTTTCATTGCATTATGACATTGTAGGACTGGGGATGAAAGGGACAGGTTCCAAAGAAGCTTGTGATGTTAGTTAACTAAAGACATCAATGTATAATGTGATCATTTGTTAGGTCTCAGACCCAAAGTGATCCCACACAGTACGATGGCATCTTAAGGTCACACATTGTGCACATTCCTTTCGGTCCCAAGAGAACCAGGCATCCTGGCATCCGGCTGCCATGGCCTATTTCCCAGTGATATCAGGAGAGGAAAGTTCTTTAAAGTCTCTCCTATATGAGGCTGGGACCTGGTTTAAATTAACAGTGCATCTTTTGTAAATGTCTTACATGATTAAAGCCCTGCAGGAAACATAGGCCATCTAAAAAGGATAGAACAGAAATCTAACCAAAGTTTTGCAATTCTTAGGTAAATCTAAGCAAAATATTGATAATCATCGCAATTATCCCAGTTTCAGGGATGTGAAGAGTAACTCCTGGGTGCATAAAAATGTATCCAAACTTGAACTTGGTTGCAAATGCCTTTGTAACACCGCTGGCCTTCTTACTTGAAAGTGTAACTCTCCCTTAACCTACTTTACAGGAAATTCTGCCTGTACTTCTGCACCGCCTATGTGTCTTGACTGAACTCTTTCATCAAGGGCGCAAAGAACCTCGGACCAAGGGAGTGAGGGTTCGGCTCCTTACTGCATCAGGACTCAGCTTCCCAGTGACGAGATCATTCCCACTGAGAGCTATTACAAAAAAGGTACTGATTTATTTCTGGTGTTGCATTTTTTGCTGTTGCTTATTTTTTTTCCCTTCTCATTAACTGTTCACCCTACTTGGTGTATTCATCTCATTAGACTTTGACATTGTTGGAGTCACTCGGACAGGGACTTGTTTTAAATTAAATTGCACTGGCTGGTCTGGAACTTGTATTCCTTCTGCCTCAGTTTCCTGAGTAGCCGAGATTAAAGTGTGTGTCTCTATGCCTAGTTTACAGCTCATCTCATTAATCATATCTGATTTGAATCATGTTTGGACTTAAATATATACCATATGAGGAAATAAGTCTTAACCTCAACCAGGCCTCTCAGAGCTCTGGGGTCCTTAAATAAACTAGTAAGAAAGAGGATATCTGGAAAATTTGCAAGATTTAGGTTAAATACCTGTTCAGGCCCCATGACCCAGCAAATCTCTACCTAACACTGCCATGTGTAGCCCTCAGAGTTCCCCCAACACTGCACTCTCCCGTCAACCTGAGTGTCAGAGATGTATTTATTTACTGTGGTGCGATGGAGTAAACCCAAGGCCTTGTACATGCTAGGCAAATGCTTTACAGCTGAGCCACACTCCAGGCCAATGTTAGGAGTTTTAAAATGGGGATAATGGGAAAACCAGATGGACAGAGCCAATCCCTGCCCTAACCAAGCACCATCAATTTGCAAACCCTGGATTCGAGAGTGCAGAGGAGGACGGAGAGCTGAAGTGTCTGTGAAAGATTCCAGCTGCTTCTACAGAACAATGATTCGGCCTCTGCCCTCAAAGTGCCAACTGCGTGCTCAAAGGTGCTCAAGCTCTTTAGGGGCATCTGCTGAACCACTCACTAGTGAATGCAAATGTAACACTAAGCGCAGAGAAGAGATGCCGAGGGGGTGTGAAGCTTCAAAGGAGTGCTCAGAGCACAACAGAACCCTTCAGGGAAAGTTTGCTAGACATAGCAACTACATTTTATAAAAATTAAAAATAATATTTTTTCTCAGTACAAATGCAACGCAGGCTTGTGACAAACAAATCAGAAAATACAGACAAGCAAAGAAAAGAAATTTCAAAAAAGTACCCACCCACAATCTCGCCCACCCAAAGACAACTTCTGTCAACACCCTCAACACCTTGACAACCAGAACTGTGGTAGCAGTGGGCACAGCCGGCACACAGGTGGGCGGAGGGGGACAGGAGGACGGGGGCAGTCCCCACACTTTACCGTACTGTTTTATTTCATTTTATATCAGCACATGCTTGTAGTGCATGATGTTTACGCTTCTTGTGTGGGGTTGGCACAGACGTAACACACCCCAGTTCCTTCTTTCATCCTTTCTCGCCCTCCATCTCTCTATTCCCTTCCCATTTGAGAAAGTCTATCTCCCTAGCTCCTATTATCTGTCTCTTGTTTTGCTCTTTATTTATAATTTTAGTCTAAGCTCTGGAAGAAATGATAAGAAATGTACATGCTAAGGCTGGAAAGAAGCTGGTTGAGGAAGGGGAAGGATAGGTGATGTCTCAAGCCGGGCAGAGATTTAAAGCAAGCGGTGGTGCCAGGGAGTCTAGCTGAGTTGTAATTATAATAGCAATAACAGCATCTGTCCTGTGCTTGTCATATGTAAGACATTATGCTAAGTACTTTATATTCTATTTTATTTAGTCCTCATGACTGCCTTATCTCATTTAGAGAGGGTGAGAGCTTCACCCAAATTTGCACAGCAAGTGGGTTCCAAACCCATTGTTTTCTAAGTATGATTTTCAAACAGAATGCCTTGAGGATTTGTTTAAAAAATGTAGTCATGCTGGGCATGGTGGCACACTCCTGATATCCCAGCATTTGGGAGGCTGAGGCAGGAGGAGCACTGTGAATTTGAGACTGGCCTGGGCTACAAGGTGAGTTCAAACCTGAACTGAATAGTGAGACCCTTTCTCAAAAAAGCAAACAAAAAGTAGTCTTTTGTCCTAACCTCCAGTATAAGTGGAGGCCAGGCATCAGCGAACGTCTCAACTCCCTTGAGAAGTTCTCTCCTCATAAATTTGAGGGCCCCTGTTCATGGGAAATGGAAGAATGAAATGGCTAAATCATCAGCAAAGGTCAGCAAGATACAGGCCTCTATCCTGGACTTGACTGCTCCTCGATATCCCGACTTTGGCCCTGGACCCTGTTGAAATGGGGGAATGTTAAATGAAAATTATGAGTCTATCATTTTGGACTAGGCTCCTGTACTAAACCCTAAAGACTAAACAGCCAAAGTGTCACTTATGCTAAAGTTCTACATCTCCACACTGAAACTAATTTGCTGCCTAACTTTCAAAAAAATCAAGAGGAAGAGATAATAGAAAAATTTCTCTAACAGGACAGCCAGCATCCACTGACTGAAGTTCCTGCTGCTTTAACCCTAACCAACCAAAGAGGGACTGAGGGTGTAGCTCAAGGGTGGAGTCCGCAGCAGCTCAGCATTCCTGAGGCCCTAAATCCAATCTCTAACACCAAAGGAGAAAAAAAAGTAACCTGATCTTATTTTATTTTAACCAATCATTTTTCTATTGTTCTGTATCCCTGTCCCTGCCTTACAAGAAAAACAACTCTCAAATGACTAGTCTGCTTTTTGTTTGTTTCTGCCTTTTTTAGCCCTTATCTGTTTATAAAACCAATCTCCTCTCCTCATCCCAAGAGAATATTTATTCTGTTCAATGGAGTGCAATCTTGCTGGATTCTAGGGTCACAAATAAAGTCAATTAAGATCTTTAAACTAAATTTATTTTCATTTTGTGCTTTTGATACCTCTTATACTTGGCTCTCTCATCAAGGTTGGAGGTTTGAATGCAAGAAAATAATTAAATGGCTCCCAGTGGCAAGAGTGAGGCCAGCAGCAGCAGCTATCAGCCCTGGGCTCACTGGGCTCACTGGTTCAGGCTAGGAGCCCAAGTCACAGAATCAAAGTTGCAACCAGGATGGAGGCAAAGAGGGAACACCCGCAAGTGGAGATAATGGAGGAAACAGAACAACCACGTTTCTGTAATTTTGCTGGTTTTCAAACAGAACACTTTCCAGTCTGCCTCCAGCACCTCAAATAGCTCATCAGCATTTTTGCCAAGATGGCAAAAATCCCTCCTCCATCACCTCCCCTGCAGGTTGTGTAGCAGTCCGTACCTGGTAGAGGTGCAGGGACACAATGATCTTAGAGTCCAGGATATCATCTTAGTTCTTAGCCTTGTTCTGCCTTCTAAAACTGGTTAACCATAGCAGGTCATCTAACCTCACTGATCCATCCCCATAAATTGTAGTACTTTTGTACTACCCAAAGAATCTCATGCAGCTAGCAAAATAATGTATGCTCAATTATAAAAATGCTATACAGTAGAGGCAGTTCAGGATTTGGAGGCAACCTCAGAATATGTGCTTAGGTGGGCATGGTGGCATATACCTGTAATTCTTACACTCAGGAGACTGAGGCATGAGGATCACTGCAAGTTCAAGGCCAGCACAGTGAGTTCAAAGCCAGCTTGACCTGCAAAGAGAAACCTTGTCTCAAAAAGAGAGAGAGAAAGAAAGAAAAAAAGGGCCAATATGTGATTACTTGTTAAGCCAATCTAAACAATGGAAGACAAAAGATAGCAGATCAGTTTGCCCAAGGGGTTTAAATGAAGGTCATCTCTAGACTGAAATGGTTCAGGTCAGAAAGTTACAAATAAACATGCTCAGAAGATACTTATGTATAGCCAGGTACCATGACATACACTACTCTGAGGCTAAGGCCAGAGATTGCTTGAGCTCAGGAATTCTAAGATGACCTAGGCAATATACTAAGTCCCTGTCGCTTAAAAACAAACAAACAAACAAACAAAAAACTATACCTGTATTGTGAAATCACAGTTTTCTAAGTAACCCATAGTCTTAATTCCCATGAAAAATGCTCTGAGAATAACAATGCTAAGCAAGAACCCAGACCAAGATCTAAGACCAGTGAGCTCAGCGCACCCTTCACTGTCCTTGGGGCAGTGGTTGTGCAGCCCCACAGCCTGGAGGGCACCGGAGTCAGCTGCTGACCAGGTGTGCTGGCCTTGGAGGCAGCAAGAAGACAGTGCAGGTGACTCCTGCAAAAGCTCCTGAGAGAGCAACCGGGCTCAAGTGACAAAGACCAGGAAATCAAGACAGACAGGAGGGCTGAAAGGAAGAAGAGGGAGGGACTGTGTACTCTTGGGGTTTCACACGACCTTAGCGGGGTACGGGCTTCTCAGTTCCTCTGGTTTGTATCTGCAGATACCGCAGGTGGTCTTAGACCTCAAAGTCCTTTCAGTCCGGGGTGAGAAGATGCTGTGCAAATCTAAACTGCATAGACAGCTGCTCTCTGCTTTACCTCTGAGGTGAGCTCAGAGACCTAGGAGACTCTGCCACCTGGAGATCCATCACAAATACTAGCTGCAGCGGGCGGTGTGGTGAGGGGCAGGGGAGGGGAGCGGGCCTTCTAGTGCTGCAGGAGACTCGTGCTCCCTGAGGAAGGGAGGGAAGACCCCGTGTGGGTTGCCCGAGTATCCTATTGAACAATTCAAAGACCTTTCCAGAAGTGCTCTCACATCTGCCTTCCCTCTCCATAGGGAAGTTGGTATTTTAAATGGTTCTTGCCACATGACACAAGGGAAAGAAACAAGGCCTGCTATGGGAAAGGAAATGCATCGTGAAGGGCACTGCAGGACTGGGGATAGGAAAGACGCAGCCTCCTCCTAAGGCTCTGACAAGTTCACAGGGAAGTTCCCCAGCAGTGACCCATCCTTTCTCTGTCACCTTCTCTGCCACTCAGCAGGAAGCCAGCATTGCTTTGAATTCTCCCCAGCCAGCCGAGTCACCTGTGGCAGCACAGTGAAGACATTCAGTGGTTTGCCTGTATTTTTCCATCGCCTTCTCTTTCCAGGCAGGTACTTCTAGCGAGGCTGTTTGTTTTTCCTTCCCTTAGGAATTCTTTCAGGTCAGGAAGCAGATGCTGCTTGGCAATAATAGGTCTTCCTGTCTTCAGTAACAGCCCCAGCTCACTGAGGAGATGATGCAGATACCCAGGGGAGAAAAGGTGAGGAAGGAAACCAGCCTTGGAGGAGAAGGACAGAGAGAGGAGAGTGCTCAGAGATCAGAATGGTAGCAAAAGGCAGAAGATAACTCTGCCTGGGCGCAGAGCCCACGCCAGGACCTGGTAACGGCCACATCTTAGAATGAGATTTTTGGCATTGGGCTTCTGGTTTCATCAAAGCTTCTTGGGCTCAGAAACAGCCGTCACCAGATTGGAAGCCTTTCAGGGGAGAGGTTGAGCCTCCCCAGATTAATAATTTGCTCACTGGGTAGGACTGGAAGCACACAGTCAGCTTAGTTTTCACTTTAGAAAAAGAAGAACAGAAATACAAACAAAAATAGAGAAATATAGGCTTGCTAACTCAGTGAGGCTGTGGAGTAAGACTCCCCTTGACATGTGTAAAAACACAGGTCACCCTATTGTCTTGGCCACGCCAAGCTGTGAGGATACTTGTCACATCTCCTTAATGCCCAAATCTTATTAGCGCTAAGATCCTACCTGCTAATGTAGGAAATCCGGACTCATATTCCACTGATTAGGATTTTTCAAGTGTTAGAAAACACACACTCAAACATACAAGGAACTGTACTTTCTGATGAGTAGAAAGTCTAGGAGCACCAGGTTCCAGGCAAGGTATGAGTACCTCGAGGTGCCTTCAAAGACCAGGTTGACTTTGTTGGGGTTCAGAAAACAGTGCCACCAAGTACAGTGCTTTCGTATGCTGGGGTGGGGAAGGAGAGTTGGTGCCAAGAGCTCCCTGACCCCCACACCCTGCCAACACGCCCAATTCTCTTGCTACCGCAGACACAAGGAAGGGCTTTCTCTGATTTCTCTTTTCTGATTTTCAAAAGAAGTACAATTGCCAGGTGTGGTGGCACATGCCTATAATCCAGCACTCAGGAGGCTGAGGCAGGAGGATCGTTGCAAGTTCAAGACCAGCCTGGGTTACAAAGTGAGCTCGAGGCCAGCCTGGACTGCATAGCGAGACCCTGGCTCAAAAAGACAAAAAGACAGTGCAGTTGTCTTAAACTCACCTCATGAAATATCCAGAAATATTAACTGCTTGAGAAGAAACTTAAATTGTCACCAAGACACAGATATTTCATCTATTCATCACCATCATCATCATCATCATCTTTTTTTGCAGTACTGGGGTGACTAAATCCAGGTATACCCTACAACTGTGCTATATCCCAGGCCTAGATTTCCGTATTTATGTATTTATATTTTATTGGTATATGTTTTCAATACATAATAATTACAAATATCCTGGAGAATTGATTCATACATATATCACTTTTTATTTTTTACTTTGAGACAGGGTCCCCCCAAGTTGCACAGACTGGCCTTGAACTTGTAATCCTTCTGGCTTAGCTTCCTCAGTAGCCAGAATTCCAGGCATCCCCACCACACATCTATTTTGAGAACAGTCTGACAGATGATGAGTGAGGGGAGACTTCTTCTGCGTAACATAACCTTTGTTCACTCCCTTCGTTTGCCCACAAGCTGTCCTCTGCGACCTACTTGACCTTCAGAAGATCCTTCACCAGCCATTGTCTGGTCTCTGGTCCATTCAATTCCTCATCCCCGTCTCCTGTGGACAAGGGTGGCAGCATCTGAACCTCGCTGAGCTCAGGCAATCACCATCTGGGATTTCTCCCATGGATGTTAAAACGTGTGTATGCGTTCTCTCCTGTTAATCTGCCTGTCAGTTATTCCAGGGAACCTTCGGGGGAAGAAAGGGAAGCTTTCCCTCCACCATTCACTCTCATCTCTCACGATGCCAGCTTTGCCCTCTCCCTGATTTGATTTGTTGGTACCGAGATGTCTCCACTAGACAGTCCCATTGAGAGGAAGAAAAAGGTCTCTCTCCCAGTGACTGCTTCTTAGACACATGGAAGGAAGAATCTGTAGAATCTCTATCAGGTCTCACACTGGGAATCTGCCCATCCCTGGAATCCCCGCAAAGGGAGCAGGACCCCATAATCAATCTGAAGGGAGGCTAAAGAGTCAGCCACAAAGAGCACACAATACTTTCCACATTCTCAAGACAGCCTTGCCACCGTGAGGCACAGAGACACCTTCTTTCCCCATGACCAAGTCTGAGTATTTCTTTTATGCTGAATTCTTTCTCAGGGATCCCGGCATGCCCTTTTTATAGACTGAAATCTACCAATTCATACTTTATAAATGTGGATGCATCTCAAGACCTTTTTGCCAGGTCCATGTCACAGAGAGTTCTGTATGTCCAAACCCATTCTGCATCACTTCCCCCAGTTTAAGATGCATAATTAAAATGGATACACTCAGCAGCTGGCAGGGTCCCCACACTGGTCCCTTGACCTGTGGAGTGAGGGCTATGGTCTTAGTGTATTTTTTGTTACTGTAACTGAATACCACAGACTGGCTAATTTATAAGAAAAAGCAGTTTATTCCACTTATGTTTCCAAAGGGTAGGAAGACAAGATTGGCCAGCCGCACCTGTGAGGCCCTTCTTGCTGGTGGACACTGTACAGAGTCTCAGAGTGGTACAGGGCATCACTGGGGCCACCACTCACATGGTGACAGTGACTGAGCATCCTTGCTAGAATCTTTCCCTTTTTCCTATCTCCCCTTCCCTTCCCCTCACTTCTCCTTCTCTCCTTCTTTCTCCTTTTCCTCCTCCTCCCCCTTCTTCCTTCTCCTCTTTTCTGTCTCCCTTTTCTCCTCCTTCCTCCTCTCCTTTTTTGTGGTGCTAGGAATCAAAGCCGGCCTCACACACGCTCCCCAAGTGCTCCACCCTGGAGCTGCATCACCAGCTTCTCCTCCTTTTCCGTTAAAGCCATGGGTCCACTGGATTCAGGCCTTTCTTTAGTGTCTCTCTCTCTCCTCCCGACACATTTTCTGGTCATTTTCTACCCTCTTTAATCTTGTAAAGGATTCAACTTAATTTCAACAAGATTTTTGGTGGGGACACGCCAGTCATAGTTTGGTTTGTTTCCCAAGATGTCTTAGTCTTCAGTGTGGCAGAGGTGAAGTGGAGGGGCTGTATGAGGGGCCCATGGGAGGCCATCAGGTCTTGCTGGGGCACTGTCCTCAGAAGCAAACAAGGTAGTTCCTGTGCAACCTGGCATTCGTTCTCACAAGAGCATTACTAAAAAGAGCAAGCCTGGCCTTCCTTGAGCCTGTGTGGCTTCCTGCCTGGTGGTGTGATCACTCCCTCCTGCATGTGCTCCTGCCTTTATGGCACAATCCACCCATGAGGTCTCCACCAGAGCCAACCTGATGTACATGCCATGCCCTGTGCCTCCAGAACTGTGACCTAAATAAGCCTCTTTTTTTTTTTGTAATGAACTTCCCCAGTCTCAGTTGTTTCATTCTAGTAACAACAAACAATGAATTACTATGTGGAGAAAGTCTTAAGTAGTAGCCGCTAAAGCTGCTTCTACTTAGGAAAACAGTAAAGTGAAAGCCATATTGAATTCCTGGAGGGTTGCACAGATTAGTGCCACTGTTAGGGATTTGCAAAAACAGACCATAGCCATTTGCTTTGAGGAGGAGGTAGATGCTGGGAGTGTGGTGTAGGGGCAGGGAATTGCCCAGTATAAAGAAAGTTCTCCATTTAATTCCCAGAACCAAAAAAGAAAGAAGAAAGGGAAGGACTTCAGGAATGCAAGAGTGGCAATTCCTACCACATTCCCATGCCGTACACCTACTTGGCTCATGCAGAAGACAGATGGACCTGGGAGGATGACAGCAGATTATCACAAGCTTAACCAGGTGGTATCTCCAATGGCAGCTGTTGTACCAGGTGTGGTTTCATGATTGATGTAGTTTCATTACAAATGTGGTTTTGTTCAGTGAAATTTCTAGGTCTGGTGATGTGAAGCATGTCAAGATATCTCTCCTAAAGAGAAAGATAAGCTGTTGCATCTAGGCCTGCCTGTAATCAGGAAAGAGGCCCAATGCCTAGTGGGCCTCTTGGGATACCAGAAGCATCGTATCTCCATTTGGTGTGTGGCTCTGCCCTATTTAGGAAGACTTGAAAAGTTGTAAGTTTTCAGCAGAGCTCAGAGTAAAGGAAGTCTGTGACAGATAGATCCATGTTGCTGTACAAGTTGTTCTGCCATTTGGCTGGATGACCCAGCAGACCTAATGGTGCTTGAAGCGTTGGCAGCAGATAAGATCATGTTTGGAGCCTTTGGTGGGCCCTACAAGTGGACATGCAGTGTAAGCCTTTAGGATTTTGGAACAAGACTTTTCCATCATCTGCAGATAACTTCTCTCTTACTCTCTCTTTCTCCCTCCCTTCCTCTGTGTGTGTGTGTGTGTGTGTGTGTGTGTGTGTGTGTGTGTACATGTGTACACGTGTGTACTAGCGGTTAAACCCAGGACTCACTACATTCCCAGCTCACATTGAGCTACATTCCCAGCCCCTTTTTATTTTTTATTTTTAGATAGGGTCTTGTTAAGCCACTAAGTTGCCTGGCTAGGCTCAAACTTGGTGATCCTCCTGTCTCAGTCTCCAGAGTTCAGAATTACAGGCATACACCACCATGCCAGACAACTGCTCTCATTTTGAGAAATAGCTTTTGGCCTGAGACTAGCCCTTGTAGACACTGAACATTTGGTCATGGGCCACCAAGTGACCATGCAACCTTAGCTTTTTGTCTCTCATTAACTTGGTACTCTCTGACCCATGAAGCCATAAGCGTGGTATACACAGCAATTTTTCATCATCCACAGGAAGCAGTGCCTACGTGGCTGGACCTGAACAGGTCCTGAAGGCATAAGTAAATGACATGAAGCAGTAGCCCAAATGACAATAGTTCCCACTCTTGGTTATCTCTCTAATTTGTACCTATGGTCTTGCAGGGAGGTCCCTATCATCAAGTGACAGAGAAAAAAAGATTCAATCCTGATTCACAGATGATTCCGCTCGATATGTAGGCATCATCAGAAGTAGATATCTGTGGCACTGCCATCCTTTAATGGGAAATCCATGAAAGACACTGGTGAAGGAAAACCCTACTGGGAAGAACTTCCACAAGTATGCTTGGCTGTTCACTTTGCAAGGAAAGAAAAATGTCAGAGACATGCAATTTTGTATACATCCATGTGGCAGTCAGTTTGGCAGGATTATCAGGGAATTAGCAGGGATATGACTGAAAAATGCATAACCAGGAAACTTGGAGAAGAGGTATATAAATATATAGTGCCTTCTTAGCTAGTTGTTGTGGAACACATGGTGGGCTACATAGTGAGTTCAAGGCCAGCCTGAACTACATAGCAAGACCCTGTGTCAAAAAGTCAAATAAATAAATAAACAAACAGTACCTTCTGAGTAGGCAAAAGATATGAAGATATTCATTTCCATGTGACCTTAGCAGAGGAGTATCTTAATAGTTGAGTGGTTAGGATGACCACTACTGTGGATACCAGACAGCTTTTCCCTTAACCTTATCATTCCCTGATAGTTTTGTGAAAAAGTGACCATGGTAACAGGGTGAAGATTATGCACAGGATAGTGATATGGACTTCCACTTATCAAGGGCAACTTAGCTATGGTCACTGCCGAGTGTTCACTGAGTTCCCAGTGTGGCACCATTTTTCATCTTGAAAGGTAGTATTTTGTTCTGCCTAGACAAATGCTTACTTTGGATATGAACTTGCATTCAGTGTGTCTGCCAAAAAACCTGCCATTTATGGTTGTTCAGAATGAATAACCTACTGTCATGGCATTCTACACAGCACTGCTTTGGATCAAAAACATACTTCACAGAAAAATACATGTGACAAAGGGCCTCTGCACATGGAACTCAATGAACTTACTAAGTTCTCCACTGCTTTAGTTTAGATCTTGAATGTCCCTCCAAGGCACATGTGTTAATAACACTTGATACCCAAAATGGTGCTGTAACAGAAAAGGGACCTCCAACCAGTACCCTTCAGTTTATAGTTCTCCAGGTAATAGTCCTTGTAGCTCCAGGTGCTTCTGTCTCCTAGAAATGGCTGGTCATTGCAATGCATAGCTGATCACTACAATGCGTGTTGTAAGAACAAATCCTCATTAATAAACCATTCTGCTTCTCTACTTCCTACTTGTTTATCTCATAAAGCATTAGACCACCAGAGATCAGGGCCTAATATTCTGGGAGTAATCCTGATCAGTGTCTGTCAAACTAAAATAAATCTGCCTTCAAATCCTGGGTGCCATTTTGGTGTTCCTGCTTACTGTTGTGTCTAATGTGTTCACTAGCAAGACCAACCATGCTGACCTCTTTGGTCACTGGTTGTGGCCCTCACAGACACTACAAGGACCTCTCCAGGTTCTAATAAGAAGGTACTCCCTCCAAATTTCTTGGGTCCCATTGGTGGTCTGGAGGAGATATCTTAGCTCCTCACTTGACCAGCTCAGATTAGACACAAATAGGAGGAGGACACAATCTGTCTGTCTCTCTGCTTGCCTGCCTACCTGCCTGCCTGATTCTGGTAAGACCCAAGGGCACCTCAGTTACCCTGTTTTTCAGTCCTGCTCAGCTCAAGCAGAAGGGGAGTCTGATCAATTCTATTTGTCAAGACCACCCTCAAGGGAAAGGCATTGAAATATTCAACCTCTGAGTGCCTGCTGAATAAGTGTGTGAGTCAACAAGACAGCATAAGCAATAGGCTGCTCCATTTGTGCACCAAGACTGGAAAGCTCTGGTCATGGTGGCTGATGGGGCCCTCACCTGCAGCTCCATGGCAGTTGACATATGGCATAATGGAGGCCTCACATCCTCCTTACCTAAGTCACACCTAAGTCCCCATGAGAAGTGCAACCAGACGGCATCTGAATGGTCTCTCTCTGAGGGGCATCCACCCTTTGTCTGTTGCTTTCAAGGGTACACAACACACACAGAAAGTCAGAACTGGAAATTAGTCAAAACCCACAGTCCCTGACTACAGGAAAAAGGGCTTTTACAGAGGTTAAAGTTAAACCAAACTGTTCCCTACATGTCAAAGAAAAAAGAAAGCATCCTATTCTTTATAAAATTCCACCTTGGCATCCTTCTTGACTGCAGCAGTTGCTGCCAACATCTATAGCTTTACTTCCCACTCTCAAATTGTCTATTTCCAGCAAATTAAACTGGTTCCAGCAAGCCATTGCCTGCATTCGACCACACAGGCCCTCCGTCTGACCTTCTGCTTCATAGCTACAGCTGTTCTGGTCAGAGGGCTTCAACTAATGCACATTCAAAATGACTGTCAGCAATTCCTTCTGAGTTCCACATTTTGACTGAGGCAAAATTGGACATCCACCCTGATGAATGAGTTGCCATGGCCTTTCCCAAAGATCATCCTAACTAAAAACCAGTCAGTCCCATGCTTCTCAAAGACATCAAAGGGGGAACAAAATGTCCATTAAATGTCAAAAGTTACTGCTGTTATCCAGAAACCTGATATTAGGATTATAGTCACTAAATATAAATGCCCTCTCCATCTGCAAGATACAAAGAAACATGAATATCCAAGCCCACCTCAACTGGAACCTCTCATTGCCTTGTTGGACTTGCATGAATAGGACAGACTGAGCTCTATCAAACTGAGCACCTGAGAGCCCATGGTCATTTAAAAAAGTTCTAGGAAACCTGTGACTTTCCTGGTAGACAATGAAATGGAATGTTCTGCCTTCAAAAGTTTCCTCTGTTAAAAAATTACCATCACCAGGGCAACTGGGACTCTTGTCTCTCGTCCCCTTGCCACACACAAACTTGCGGCCTGAGAAGACATCTCACCAAACATGAATTCCTGTCACCAAGTCAGTCAGCCTCTCATGTAACCTTGTATTTTTCCCAAAAGGAAGATGACACCTACATCAGCGTGAGACAGATAACCACATCCTGAAATTCTGAAAATTCTCCACCCAGAGGTATAAGATCACCAACCGTGACCTTCATTGCTGTCAGATGTCATGGAAAACATAAACATGCATCCAGCCGTGCATCAGCCTGGTGGACTGTCAATCACCGTGGGCAAGATCTCCATGCTATGAACAACGCAGCCATCACCTTGCACTCTGCAGTTCCCAGGGGCGAGGTGGTGAAACCTTAACAGGCATGACCTGGAGGAGGTTTTAGGATATTTGAGAAGCCCTTGAAGAGGACTGTGGGACTCTCGTCTCTTTGTTTTTCTTGTTTTGCTTCCTAGACATGAGATTTGGGGAAGATTTTTCTCAACCATGTATTCTCTGTTATGATGTGTGGCTTGCTACAGATCCAAAGCAATTAGGCCAATTGGTTATGGATTGAAATCTCCAAAACTGTAAACATCCTCTTTATAAGTTATCTGAGGTATTTTGTTATAGTAATGGAAAACTGCATATATTTACTCACCATCTTTAAGAAGCTTGTTTGATAGAAAGTGGAATGACCTTCTAAAGTCTTGAGTAGATGACAACCTGGGTGGTCATACCCTGTAAGTTTGCAGCAAGATTCTCCAGAAAGCTGGAGGCCACAAATGGTGTTGTATTAGTCACTTTCTTGTCACTGGAAAAAGTACTAAATATTAGCAAATTAAGGGAGGAAAGGTTTATTTGTCTCACAGTTTAAGTGGACTCAGTCCATGGTTGATTGGCTCCAAGGCAGAAACAGCATGGTAAAAGGGCATAGTGGAAGAAAGCTGCCATCCTATGGTAGACATGAATCAGAGAGAGAGACAGAAACAGAAACAGAGACAGTGACAGAGAGACAGACAGAGAGAGAGAGAGACAGAGACAGAAAGAGAGGAGAGAAAGAAAGAGAGAGAGGTGCTGACCGCAAGAATCTAC